TTGTAACTGACATAAATGTAGTTATACATAATAGTTTACCAATATTACTTTTTAAATGTTCTAATTCTTCAATTTGTATCTGTTGTCCTTTATATAAATTATATCGATTACCAATATGAACAGATGAATCGTGAATCTGTTTATAAATATCAGCAATAATGTATCGGTATGGGTAAATCATACTGATGTTGTTTGATCGAAATGCACGAGCCACGGAAGAATGAATAAACGTGCATTTTTCCTGTATATACCATTGTATTGCTTGAGATGCTGTATATTTATCTTGAAATCTATTAATAGACAGACCAATATATTTCCAATTCATCAGCAGCATGATTATGTTTTTTTGGTAAATGTTGAATCGATTCGATTAAAAACTCAAAACCAAATAAATTGTTCATCTTCTTCTTTAGTTAACGGTGTCAGTGATAAATTTTTCATATTTTCGAATTTATTGAATATAACTGTATTTGGTTCAAAAATTTTATGAGAATGAAAAGTTAAATGTTTATTGATAGATGATGATAAGGATGATAATGTACTCGTATCTTGTAATAACTTAGAACAAAGTTCAGTTGGATTTTTGACTACGTCGGATAATTTTGGATAATTTCTATACCATTGTTCATCATCATTATCGTCTCTTTTAGACTGAAATAAATAAACTGCAATAATTTGTCTAAGATTATGAATCAGTGGTAATAAATTTTTAACATCAAATGTATCGGATAGAATAAAAAAAGCTTTTTTATTTTTTTTCGTTGTCAATGATGAAATACATTTTAACGGTTCATGACATGTTTCCTTTGGTAGATTTAATGGCCGTTATTTATTGATATATGTATATCACCTGGTAAGAGAAAAACAATTTCAAAATGATTGTCTATTGATGTCAATATTGTTTGTGTTGCTGCTGCAGATGCTGTTGTTGTACGTGTTCTAATTGTTGTAGCAGGAGAAACGTTAAATGCCCTTGAAAAACTATATTGTGGTTCATATATCAAATTGTGTTCGACTTCGAAGAGTAAGCGTTTAACCTGCGCTGCGTATGCTTAAAAATAAGAATAAAGAAGCATACCAATTAAAGTGCTAACAGCTTCAATCATTCGTAGTTTGTTGTCAGATTTAAATGATTTGAGATTTGAAAATACTCCATTGAGTTGTGTCATAACAGTTAGCTAGCTCAAACTTTAGTTTATCCGCATTATTTAATCTATTGTTGGTACAGTTGTTCCGTTCTTAGTCTGAAAATAAAAGTCAACTGACTCTAGTTTTGTACTCAATATCTTATCACTAATAAAGTCATCGAAAATGATGTTTTCTTTTAAACTTATAACTTTAGATAAACGTCTAAGTTTTGGACTGGATGTTGACAGTGTACAAAGACGATACTATTTAAGGGATACTTATAGTAATGTAAAGCATTCAAGGAACGAACATAATAGCAACGACTACGACAGCAACAGCGAGTAATAAAATTTGATTATTTTTAATTTTTCAATCATTAATCTAAAGTGTATCCGTTGAAGTAACAGTAGTAGAATTAGCACTTGTGAGTTTTCTTTACTCTCTGTGGTTATTTACTATCTACTGAATTCTACTTCAGACTTCTTCTTTGTTGTAAACGCAGCTAGAAATCTCCACTTCTCATAAACACACAGCGAACTTGTGATTGTCGTTTGAATGACAGTTTTGTCATTTTTATTTTTACAATATTTTTTTCTAATGGTTCTAATTTTCACATATATGAATTTCTGTATCAACAGAAGCACGGATGATGCAAAAGTCTTTGGACGAAAGTTGAGGTCTATATCTTCGCAACCAAAAAGGCTACAAGTTTAATTTTTTTTTGTATTTGGAAGTTCTCATCATGATGTACAGGAATCTATTAAAATTGTAGAGAAAAAAATCTAAAGGTAAAAAATGAGGCAAAAAGTTCGAGGTCAGCCAGAATACCTTGCTGTAAAACGCTGTAAAAATCTTTTTTTGTAACGTTTTAAATTTTTTTCAACAGTTTTACAAAGATTGACATCAACCAGAGTAGGTTTTTCGGTAGTGTGCTCTTTCTCGCCATGTACATTGTGTTCGTTTAGACCAATTTGTGTAGCGGCAATGCTGACGTGTTAAATCTATCACCGATAATAGCTCAAATTTTTCATTTTTAATCCATGACAGTAAATAAAAGAGTTTATTAAACATTTACTGTTTAAAAATATAGTAAACCAATGATTTTTTTCTTCAAAAGAAAAACAAAGGATTAATCTTTAGAGAAATAATACAAGCTGGACGAACGGTGCGTATTGTGTTCCCGAAATGATGATTTTTTGGAATTCGAAACAGGAAAATGATTTTTGTATAACAATTTCTGTTTTGAAAATGCATTAGTTATTACTAAAAGAAAGTAATTTTCAACCACTGGAAACTTGCTAATTAATTTCTTTTATATCTCAAAACAGGATCGAATAAATCAAAATCTTCTTTTATTCTACTTTTTAACCATACTTATCTGAGGAATAAAAAATTGACCATTTTACATGCTTCTATTTATGATTGCAGAACTTCGCTGATATGAACGTCTAATGAACATTCAGGACGTTTAAACTTTGTCTAGACGACTAGTGAGCTGCTCGAACATATCAGCTCCTTTCGAAAGAACTTTTCAACAGTTCCTATGATAGGAGTTGATATGGAACTGTCATACCCTTAGTGCAGACTTGAAATGTAGAGTGACTGCTTGAACTTTATATTGTTACACGCTTATTTATAGTATGTTTTTCATTTTCATTTTCTTTTCTTTAACAACATCTATTAATGTCTCTCTCTCACAAGGCGTACTTATTCCTACGAACATCGAAGAATAACAAGCGAGATAAAATTAAAAATAAACTAAAATATATCTTTGGAATATTTACAGACACAAAGGTTATTTTCCCCCTCCTATAGGATGTTGCTTTTATCAAAAACCCAAATTTAAAATACTGAGATAAAACTCAAACATAGTTCATTTATAAAACTTCAATATCTCGTAAACCTTACATGCTACATTCTTCAAAGTCGTAGAGAATATAGACCCACTCTATAATAATCTTAAGCGGTTTGTCGAAAAAAGGGAGAACATGGTCGAAAATTCATCGCGGTGGTGATCAATTCGCATTATTTCTCGGATTCTGCATCAGCTATGAAGTCAAAAAAAACAGTTTCTAACGTAATTCAATGTGTTCTATAAAACTAGATTGGCTTTAAATGAAGCGGAGAAAGTTGCTGTATTGATGGGACATTTCAGATGAATTTGCCCACACAGATGTAACAAAAAAAAGATCATGCGTATAAGTGCAACTGATAAACATGTGGTCACCTTTTGAAGTTAGAACGAAACACTGACAAGTGACTCGACATCCCATAAAACGGCATACTAATCTGTTCTAATTCTATGATATTTGATATCTGCATTTCTTGAACAGACTATTCCCTCAATACCTACTTTCGCTGATATATGAAAGAGTTCTGTCAAACAAGTACATTCGTCAGGTATATACAGAAAAAGATATTTATTAAAGAAGTGCATGTATGCACGTGAAAGAGAACAAAAAACATTTTCATTTTTAATGAGCACTTATTAGTTTTTACGGTACACTTTTATATTGTTGTATTTCTCTCATGTTCGATTGATTTAGCATCATGGTATTCAGCGAGATCATGTAAGTAATGCGTGAATAATCTCATTTTTGATAAACAATAAAATGAGATGATAGATATGAGCTGCCAATCAGTTTGTTAAACACATCCGATTACGGTGAGATTATGATTATCACCTTAATAATCCTCGTCCAACAACAACAACAACAACAACAGCGACAAAAAGATCTACTGTAGATTCATTATGTTCAGATACTTGCATCATGGAAAAAATTATTTTGAAAAAAGTGACACATTTATCATTCTTTCTTTTTTATTCTTGAAACTGGTATTTACTATTACTCTTTCTAAACTGAACGATGACAGATGATCCTTAATACCTCAGAAAATTTGAAAATATGGATGAAATGGTAACAGATGATGAAATGTTAGGGGTCACACAAGTATTTTCTTATAATCGTAATATAATTTATTTAACAATAAATGGAGTAGAATATGAAATTAATATGAATCTAGTATAAATAAACATCTGACAATTTCAACATATATGTATGATAGTGTAGCCGCAACTCTTTATGTAACAGTGCTCATCACTGATCAAATTCCAACGAGTAACATTTCATCATTAATTCTAAAGCCATCCATTTTATTAGGTTATGATAGAAAAAATACGTTTAACAATGAGTTTGCTACGAGATATGATGGTGAGACAATCGCACGTGGTTTGTCAGTTAGTATATCTATTTCGTTTCATGTTTTTATGTATCTGATACTTAAGCAATTGCTTTATTCGCGTAACCTTTAGAAAAAGAGCAAAAAATGGAGGCCGTTAGCTGGAGAAGTCGCGAAGACATAAGACTGACATAATAGCTATCTTTTTCTATAATTTTTTAATAGAAAGATTCGAACATGAATTTCTTTGTACATTTTGTGTGCAGAAAGAAAATATGTTCTATCAAAACATAGAGTGCCTCGAGGTAATTCCAGTCAATGTCACAAATCTTTTCAGTATATTGCTCATAGCTAAGCCATTTTTACCAGAGAAAAACGGTTTTGCACAGGTAGATAGATCTGACTCTAGCTATCGACTGATGTAAAAATCATGTTAAAATTCATTAGGGGTCATTAGTTCTGATCAATTTCCAGTCAGTTAGTATTAAATGACCGAAATTACCTACCCCAGGGATAATTCCGGTCAACACAGCCAAAATGGCTGGTACAAAACTAAATCAACTTTTTCAACAGTAAACTTTCACCTTTGTGATTAAAAATTAGACCACCATATGCAGAGTTGTGAGTTCTATCTACCTGTCTAATTTGCACTGCAGTCGTACTTACCATTAATTAGTTAATTTCAATTTAGAGAAATCAAAAGGCATAGTCATTTTATTTACGTCTCATATCTCGATGAGTCATACAATAAATTTAAAAGAGATGAGTTAATATATATACTTAAATTAAAATAAGTTGTTCTCCGATACTGAGATCAATAAAATAATATTAAATATTTCAGACGTTCGTAGGCGTTAGTGACTGAATCATACTAACGACCCAAGGAGAAAAAAAATATCGGCTATCGGGCGATCTAGCTAGCTAACTCAATATACTACCCGATATACCTAGCTAGCAATTCGAATTGGGTTATTTACTATCGGGCGATATAGCTAGCTAACACGA